TCATAGACAATTCATTTTGAGTTGTCTGTGACAGACAAATTTTTTGTGAAGGACAGACATGTGTACACATTTTGTGTACCTCTAGCAAAACTCAAATGTTAATTTGATAAGAGACAAACTATCTCTAATTTTCTCAGCCCAACTAAGTGTCTAACAGCCTGCCTAACTCCTTCCCAGACTAGTTATTTATACCCTCTTAGCTAATAACCGACAATTAGCTAATAACAAAAAGTGCCAGCTCACAGCTCAATAACTATCAACTACTATTATTTCCTCTTCTAGAATAAACTCTCCCAAAGTACTTATCATCTTTGTTATTTACAGACACATCCCTAACAATACCCCCACCCCACCCTTACCCCAAAAATCCACCTTGTCCGGTTGTCCCCAAGGTGGCAAGGTGGAATTCCGAAAACTGTTCTTGGATCAATTACACAGTTTCTCACGAGTCTTCAAAGTCAGGGTGATCCTTCCAATGCATCAGCACTTCCCTTTTCCTTCATTATTGATTCTAGTCTCCACTTTTTCTGGCAGCACATTTAGTTCCCACACCTCATTTAGGCATTTAGGGATATCTTGGTACGTAAGAAGTTGTAGGAGTTAACACCTTCTTGAGTAAGGATATGTGAAATACAGGATGTATTTTATTATCCTTAGGCAATTTGAGCTTATAGGCCACAAGATTGATCTTTTCTTTGATCTCATATGGACCATAGAATCTGGGACTCATCTTTTGACACAATCTTCTTGCTAGGATTTTCATTTTGTAGGGTTGTATCTTTAGAAAGACTTTATCTCCCACCTACAAAGTTAATTACTTCCCTCATGTGTTTGTTTGCTTGTTGTTTCATCTGGTTCTGGTTTAGTTGTAACTAGATTCTCCTTCAACTCCCTTAACTTTTCATTTATTTCTGCTATTGTAGCCTTGAAACTTCTACTACTGCAGTCAAACTGACATCCCCTTTTTAGGGAAATGTGGTAGTTTGTATTATACCAGAATTTTTAGGGAAATGTGGTAGTTTGTATTGTACCAGAACTCAGCCCATGGTAAACACTTAACCCACTGTTTAGGTTTTCTTCCAGTAAGACATCTCAGGTAGATTTCTAAGCATTTGTTGACAACTTCAGTCTGTCTCATCACTCTGAGAGTGATATGCAGTGTTGTACTTCAGTTGTGTTCTTGCTAGTTTGAATAGCTGAGACCAAAAAGAGCTTAGAAATAAGCTATCCTTGTCACTTACAATAGATTTTGGAAACCCATGTAGCTGGACTACCTCTTGAATGAATAGTTTAGCTACTCCTTTAGCATTAAAAGGGTGAGATAGGGACAAAAATGTGAAAAATAAGTCAATATGTCCACAACCACTAGAACAATATCCTTACCTTGCGATTTAAGTAGCCCACCTATGAAGTTCATGCTAATGTCAGTCTAAATTTGAGTAGGCCTGCAGGGTTAAGAGCTCGATACTTATTTCCTTGGCTGATATCACAACCTTGAACATGGTTCTTGATGTCTGATTGATACACTTGTAATTTCCGTGTGTATGTTTGTGTTTTTAGCTAGTTTTGGTTGTTTAATATTTCGGAAATTACACACTTTTGGTGTAATAGTTTAGTTTGTTAAATCCTTGTAAATTGTTTAGATTAGGATTATTCTGAGCTCAAACAGGTCTATTATCACTCAAAGGATGGTTGGTGAACCCCAAAAGTGGAAAGAAGGTGCAAATCACAAGACAAAAAGGGAAAATCCTGATTTTTGCCTATACTCGGTCGAGTATTACCTATACTCGATCGGGTATAAGGTTGAAACGTCAAATCAGATCAGATCCGAAGACAAAGGAACATGCCGGGAAGATTTTGACCACGATTCAGTGTCTATACTCGATCGGGTAGACCGACATACCCGATCGGGTAGACCGACATACCCGATCGAGTATGCCTTTGAGTTTAAACCCGAAATCGGTCGAGTATGGCTCGAATATCACTTTCTACACATACTCGACCGAGTATGAACATATACTCGATCGAGTATGCCTTTGATTTTTAAGCCAAAATCGATCGAGTATACCTCGAATCTGGTATTTCTACACATACTCGATCGAGTATCTGTATATACTCGATCGAGTACCCGAGCTGCACTCCCAAAAAGTCTATAAATACATCCCCTTTCCTTCACAAAAGATCACCAATTCCTTTATACTCTTAAGCTCAGTTTAGAATAGTATTTCTTTTATATTTTTATAGCATGTTTAGTCTCCAAATGAGGAGCTAAACTTCCATTTCTTGGTGTTGCTCTTGAAGCTTGTTGATTATTAAAGTTGTGAATTATTTTCTTAACTTCTTTCCTTGAATATTAATGTTTCTCTTAAATACTATTTCTATATCAATGTTGGGGAGTGTTGCTAAGATGACAATTAGTTAACATCTTGACATTGGTCTTAGTAATAGCTATTCCTTCCTCTATGTTAATATTGGGGAGTGTTACTAAGATGACAATTAGTTAACATCTTGATATTAACTATAGTAGGATTCATTTTCCTTAATATTCTTCCTTGAGTATTAATTAATTCCTATTCATATTTCATATTAATATTTTTGAACATTACTTAAAGGATCGACTAGTTTTGTTTCAAATATTAATTATTACTAGAAACGATCAACGAACCGATGGTTAATCGTTGATGGTTTCACAAGTAAGTAACTTCGGTTTATTAATGCACGGTCGTGGTTAGTAAACTTAAGAGGGATTAATTTTGTTGGTTAAACCGAAACCGTTGTGTTGAGGTTATCAATCTCAATTGATTTCATCAAGGAGTTAAGAGATTAAATGCTACTATCAAGTAAGTATATGGCGTTGTTCTATACTTGACTAATAGTAAGGGTTCTTAATGAACGGTCGTTGTTAATAACTTTCCTCGATGAATTGGATATACTCCTCGATTGAGTATTCGAGAGGAGATAAGTTATAGATATAACAATGATCGACTGAAATATATCAACAAGTGGAAAGTAGCAATGTCAAGTCCTTTTTATCTTTGAATTAAATCACATATAACTCGTTCATCTTCGTGTTTAATTTAATTAAATCATTCAACCCAAAACCCCCCTTTATTTACTCCTTTCGTTAAAAAGATAAATTATTCCTTTCCCTGTGGATACGAACTCTACTTCACCTATACTACGTATAAGTGTTAGTATTGAATTTATTTTGAGTGCACTCACGACAAAGTGCACGTGACTGATCTCATTCCAAATTAGTAGAATAGGTTTGAGATCCTTTTCATGGTCCTGAATTAACCAGAATGCCCTCCAACAGCCGAGTCATGGTATTCCTTGAGAATGATATCTATTTTCTTAGAACCGTTAGGTAACACCAATCTGCCCTTGAAATATGGTAAGTTATTCTTAACTTTATAATCACAAAATTTATGGTGAGAACCTTTTGAATTATCTCACCAGTTATGGGATTCTTTTCCAAGTCCTCCTCTAGCCCTTCCCATTCCTGACAGGTTACTATTGACAGTGAATGAAATGTAGGCTTCCTTGAAAGAGCATTTGCAGCCTTATTCTCAATTCCTGATTTGTATTTGATAGTAAAGTTGTATCCGAGTATCTTTGGTATCCATTTTTGCTGATCTTTACCCATAATCTTTTGTTCAGTGAGGTAATTCGGACTTCTATAATCAGTATGGACCTCAAACTTCCACCCCAATACGTAAGGCCTCCATTTTTGGATGGCTAGAACAATAACCATAAGCTCTTTTTTTGCAATAGTCATATAGTTCATTCCAATTGGTTTTCAAATCCAAATATAATTAAATCTCAATATCAAAATATCACTTTTATCCATTCATGAATTCTTTACATGAATTATAAAAGTATATTTCATCACAAGGTTTCATAGTTATTTCAACTATCATGTCATCATATTTATATCACATAATCATACACAATTTCTTCTAAGTTTGTATATCATGATTCATTTACTTATAGACAATAGTATTTTCATTTAGGCATTATTAAACATTAATAGTCCATGAAAATCACATTTAATTACCTTAGGTAATCTTATGAAATTAACTCACTAATTATAAGCAATATATTTAACCACTCTCATCTTTTGATGTGCTACAAGCCTACAATAGTTGCCTTTGCTAAGCCCCTCAAACAATCCCTGTTCTAGGCCGATTGAAAGGAAAAATCTGGACAACAGCCAAAAGTTGGGCGGCTTTCACAGAAGCCAAGCGGCGTGTAGTGCTGTTATGGAAATCGAGCTCAGCTCGAGCTCGGCTCGACTCGGCTCGATTAAACTCGGGCTCGGCTCGTATATTAGAGAAAACGAGTCGAGTTCGAACTCTTTTGTTTACTCGATAAAGTTCACGAGCCGAGCTGGCTCGACTCGATAAAACCCGGTGAAGCTCGATAGGGCTCGTGAGGTGGGCATATTGTCATGGGTTTTTCGAGTATGATGATATTATAGTTAATACATGGGTTTTTCGAGTTCGAGTTGTCGAGCTCGAGCTCGAGTAGCTTGACTCGGGTATATTAACGAGTCGAGCTCGAGTTGTAAATTACTTTAACGAGCCGAGTTCGAGCTCAAATACAGAATCGAAATTTAACGAGCCGAGCTCGAGCCAGGCTCGAAATTTGAGCGAGTCGAGCTCGAATGTGTGATACTCGGGCTCGGCTCGGCTCGAATAACAGCACTAGGCGTGTGCAGACAACGTAGCTTGTCTTATGCTCCATTTGTGGATAAGTTTTTCTCATCTGACCAATACACCGCCACATATCATAGAGTCTTCAAACCCATTCCTGATCGTTATTATTGGCCTACTTACAATGGACCTGAAATTGTGCACGGTCCATCCATGCTTCGGGCTAAGGGAAGACCTAAGTCCACACGTATTAAGAATGAGATGGATGAAGGTCCCTGGGGAACGGTTAGATGTGGAAAATGCCACCAAACCGGCCATAATAGGGCCACATGTGTGAAGAGATCATCAAGACACGATGGGGGTCCAGTGGGTAAGGTTTTAATTATAGTAATTCATAATTCATCTTAGCGTTGCATGAAAACATATTAATTAATAAAATGGATGATTAAAAAAATTAGTATAATAGTAAAAATTAACTAATACAATTTTGTTTGTTTGTAGGCATGGAGGTGACAACGGATCCTGGGCCGAGTGATCGTTCTGTCCTGACATTGCAGGCCTCACACAGGAGTGAGGATGTTTGGCTTGGCCTCGATGTTCAGGTTGATAGGTGCCGCGAGCACCTGCGGGGTTTGTCACATATGCACGTGGACGACAGAGTAGTTGCATATGTTCGTGCTGCGGGTTTTTATGATCTGCACAGATTGGTGGCTACTGTCCCTCTCGATAGAGCGCTACTCACTGCTCTTCTTGAGCATTGGAGGCAGGAGACACACACATTCCACCTCCCTGTTGGTGAGGTGACAGTGACCTTGGGAGATGTTGTTATACTAACTGGGTTACAGGTTGATGGGAGAGCGGTTACAGGCACTGCTTGTCGACATTGGGTAGATGAGTGTGAGCGGTTGTTAGGTATCCGCCCCGTTCTTTAGACTGGCCTTCAGGGGTCATCTCTGAGGATGTCATGGTTGCGGGAGCACTTCCAGGTGCTTCCTCCGGACGCTGATGAGGTGGTGATCCAGCAGCATGCGCGAGCATATATCTTGATGATGATGGGAGCCTCCATTTTCGCTGACAAGAGCGGAAATGAGATTCAGGTGCTGCACTTGCCTATGCTAGTGAGGTTTGATGTAGCTGCACAGTTCAGCTGGGGTAGTGCCACGCTGTCTTATCTCTACAGACAGCTGTGTCGCGGCTGCCATAGAGGGAGCACAGAGCTTGGAGGATTTTTGTTACTCCTCCAGATTTGTTTATGGGAGTATATCCACATTGGGCGTCCCATTGTAGTCGCATATCATGGCATTGATGGACACCCACTGCGTGATGAGCCTCCATGTCTTCTGGGACCACATCATGTACGGGGCGAGGACCCTCTGGGCCGTCGATATGTTTTCAATCGTTGGTATTTATGTTATTGTATGTTGAATGTAAATATATTAATAATATCCATATTAATGAAACAGTTACATGAATGCTTAGATGGCTATTTGCTGGTCTATGACGCATGTCATCCGCTACTGGGCTCGAATGTCTACAGGGATGCATTTGATCGGATGTCTGAGGATCAGGTATGGTGTGAGTAATATAACATTAACTATAATATGTATAGCATAAATACTAATTTTGTATCTTTATGAAATAGATTACCTGGATGCCGTATACAGCCGAGATGTTTGCAGAGTTTCCCCCAGCTGGACGAGAGCATAGTCACATATGGCAAGCACGTGTGCCGTTGATATGTTTTGACATTGTTGAGCTTCATTTGCCTGATCGAGTCTTGCGACAGTTTGGGTTTGAGCAGGTCATTCCACGGCGACACTTATGTAGAGCTTCATAGGCTGGATAGGAGTGGGAAGCATACGAAGGATTGGGTACTGAGACATGTCCGACACGTCACTCTGTGGGACAGGCGATGCCATCTTATACACATGCCCCCATCTCAGGAGATGCCATCGACGTCTAATGCAGCGGCGGCTTCATCATGCCAGACGCAGCATGAGAGAGTGGTTCTTCAACCACGACAACAGCGTAGGCGTAGACATCAGCAGCAACATCTCCATGACCAAGATGATCAAGATGACCATGAGAACTTGTAGTTTGTCTTTTGTATTGCAGTTTTTCTTGTACAGTAGATATTGTAGGAACAATTTACAACATTTTACGTATTTTCTCTTGTAAACTCTTGTATGTTGTCTTGATGTGTTCGGGTATGAATATTAGATGATTACTTGTTATGAATATTGGATGATTGTATTGTGTTTTACCGGTTATGAATCTAAGGTTTTGTATTCGATTTGTAAAGGGTATTTACAAGGTGTTTTGTATGTTGTTGAGAGTAGGTGTTATGTATGTGTTTGTGAACAGGTGTGTTGTATGTTTTATAATGTGTTGTACCTGGCTCGTAACACTTGAACATGAGAAGGGAGACCTTATTTATAGCAAACAGATGAGTCTGGGTTGAACTGGGGCAAAAAACATGCTGAAATTCACTTTTCCGAAGTAGGAACGATCGTGCGTCCCAGTAGCTGCTGGCCTTCGATCAATGCAAGGGGTAAGTCGCCCAACCGTTCGGCGACTTACCCCTTACCTGGTTAAACCCAGCAGTAGATCGGTAAATACTTTTTTTCCAGCATTATTTTCGTAATTAATTAATTAATTAATTAACATTAATTCGAAAAAAAACTCTTAAATATGTACGAACCCGCTCCTAATGGGTAGGGTTGTGGAATTAAAATCTCAAACCCGATAGTACCCGACCCGGCCGAAAGTTCAATTTATTATTATTATTATTATTAAAATTATTATTATTGTTATTGTTGTTGTTGTTGTTGTTGTTGTTGGTGCTGCTGCTGCTGCTGGTGTTGTTGTTGTTATTATTATTATTCTTATTATGCTTATTATGCTACAAAGTTTAGTTGGATAATTTCTATTTAAGATCGATGTGCTCTATCTAAGACTATGATTTTACCATTTTGACTAGGTGATTAGTACATACACACATTTGCTTCTAAATTAATTTCCTTTACACAAGAATGTTTTGATACTATTTCCCTAAGTTTACTCTTATAAAAAGTACTTGTATTTGTTTGTGTATTTTGGAAACAAGTTAACCGAGATTCGTATTGCATGCATGATTTACTCTTATAAACTAGTTGCTCATATTAAAGATTCAACCCAAAATAAATTCCTTTCAATATCCGACCCTACCCGACCCGTTCATGCACGGTTTAGCAACTTATATTTCATACCGCGGGTTGATAATTAGCCAACCCGAATAAATTGGGTAGACCCAAAAAATATAGCAAACCCGACTCAACCCACCCGATGTGCGGCCCTACTCTCAGCAGACGGACGGACAGACGGCGTTTAATTGAGATGTGAGTGGATGGCCAAAAGTTATCTAAATAAGTGAATCATGTGTTAATTTGGTCGACTTAAAAGTTAAGTGTCCAATTTGAGATTGGTAAATAACCTTAGTGTCCTTTTTTAGCGTTATCCCGTTGTGTTATGAATATTGGATGACTGTATTGTGTTTTACTTGTTATGAATCTTCTGTTTTGTATCGGGTTTGTATGTGATGTTTTGTATGTTTTGTGAGCAGGTGTGTTGTATGTTTTGTAATGGAATGTGTCTGGTTGTCGTTTGTGAGTTTACTGAGTTTGCAGATGCAGGGGGAAAGTCGTCAAACCCTTTGGCGACTTATAAGTCGTCATCCGGTTGGACGACTTATAAGTCACCAAACACTTTGGCGACTTTTCCCGACCATGATTAAACTCAGCAGTAGATCGGTAAATACTTTTAACTCAACATTATTTTCATAATTAATTAATTAATTAATTAGTCGAAAAAAACTCATTATTTTGATCATTATTTCAAAAAACTTTTTAATCTTTATAAAACATTCCACGTAAAAGTTACCAAACCGTCTCCAAAGTTCAAGTTAAAATCTTTCTTCAACATCTGCTGCTTTCTCCTTCCAGACTCGCAGTTAATTCAGCCGAGGAAGATCGAGATCTGACCTCTCTCTTGATATTATTATATTTATCATTCTATACCCATCATTCATACATATATACAGCTGAACGCAATTGAGGGAAATGAGGAAGAATATGGCGGTGGCTGCTTACGTCGTCGTTCTATTCATAGTCTGCTGTACGCCGCCGGTGAGATCGGATTCATCGAATCACAGGTACAAGGCAGGGGATTCAGTCCCTCTATACGCCAACAAGGTCGGACCTTTTCACAATCCGAGGTAATCAATTTTTCATCTTCTTTTAGATCTCTTCATGAGCTAGTCTGTTCATTCCATTGAACCGGATACATTTCTAATCTTCTCCATTATTAGCATTATGGATAGGTGGATGTGTAGACGAGCTATGATTTTTTGACGTGTTCGTCCTTGAAACTGTGGTGATCTGATGCATTTTCGTAGCTCTTAGTTTACTATACAGTGGGATACTTATTGGCATTGCCAATTGTTATGTTCCATCTTGATTAAAATGTGACATTATAGATTGACAAGGAAATGCTAGAGTTGGAATTTCAAAGATTGCAAAATTAGGCTCCACTTCGGGCAAAATCAAAATGATGTAAGCCTTTGGGGTTAAGCTAGGCAATGCGGATGTTTTCCAATCATATTTGAATGTTGCTAGGTATAAGAGATGCATATTACTAATAATTAGGCTCAGTCCTGCATCACATTTCTGATTCGCTCAATTGTGACTCAACATTTGAAATTCAAATGTGTAATCTATTTTCTTGTTGAATTCAACCAATGTGATTCATCACTCGGCAATACAATCTCTTGTTATTTGGCTGCTGAGTCTATTACAGATGAAGTGTGGGCAATCGGTTAATGATATTTAAATTTGAACAAACTATTATAAAAAATGTGGTGCTGCACAAACTGGTAGGTAGTGGTTGGTTGGACTTGGTTCATGGTATTTCAAGTGACAATTTACCACAAAACATAACGTTCAACCAAACAGCACATGTCCATAATTTTAACCAAACTCAAATTGAGTACATGCCTACCCATGTGTACTAGCCTACTAGGCAGTCTTTCAGGTTGCTAAATCCACAATAAATAGGGTGAAAATATTGAGCAACCACACCAAACCACTACTGGTACCCACTACGCACCCAATGTGAATTAATTAATTCCAAATATCCAAATATCTGGAAAATTAATTGGACTTTTCACAAGGTTCAAAATTGTGTATTCTGTAGTTGTGGCATATTTTAAGATGGCATATTGCGTCAGCCTCATTGTGTAATGAGGCATATGCCTGATGTGTGTAATATATATAGACACAAACACATTTTCCTAAACCTTCCAGCAGTCAAACATTCTGTGTTGTGTTGCCCAATCTAAATGGAAAGAAGTTATAGTTTGACAAAAAAAAAAGACACAAACACATTTAAAACAAAACAAATTATTCATCAAATATCATATTAAAAAAAATTATAAAACTCATTTAAAGTTTAAACAGATAGAAATATAAATATAAATGTGTAAAAGTATCACAATATATAAAAAATTCGAAAACGTGAAAATAAAAATCAATGATTAAAGAAACACAATATAAATAAAATGCAGAAAATATAAATAAAATGTAAAAGTATTTATAAATTGTAGTATACAAATAACTCCAAGATCATGACATTTTTTATATTTACTGGTTTTTTCTATTTTTCGTATTCTATCAAACTTCTCACTCTGCCAAGAACTTTGCCAATTTTCCTTTTTTTGTTGTTTATTTCTTCTCCTATGCACAAACATCAACCATACAATTTTTACTTTTCTTATTTCAAACACAACTCAAACCTTGCGATGCCCAATGAGAAGGTAGTATTTTTTACTTAATAAATAACCTGCTATGGCTTGCAAAAACATCTAAAATGACCGGATCAATTTTTTTAGTATAGAGGATTAAGTGGTGGAAATAGTAGGTCTATTTGAACCTTTCCCTAGTTTTTCTTCAGAAGTTTACTTATTGCTAGTAAAATTTTAGAAATACATTATAAACGATTTAAAAATATATTATATTAAATGTGAATGTCGAGGTGGCCGGGTGGGGATGAAATAGCGGGACATCAGGTGGGTTACAACATATTTTAACATCCAAACCCAACCCTCCTCCTCCTCCTACAGTAGGATTATAACATCCAAACCTGATGGGTGACGGATCAAATGCGAATTGACATTTTTGTGCAATGTGATCTCGCGTTCCTTGGACCAAGCACACCTTTAAGATTTTGGGGATTAGTGCTACTTATTAGTGCATCAATACGTGCATATTATCTTTTCAGGAACTAGCAGTCCTTTCCCTCTTGGAGGAAGAAAACTTTTATGGGCAGTTACACACTTGCAATTAGATTCGCTGTAGTACTGTATGGTATGATGAAATATAAATAAATATGATCCACGAAAGCTGAATATGCTTTTAACAAAGGTGATATATGAGTTATGCATAGTAGTAGTGGTGGTGGAGTCTTTATGATGTTTTATTAATGGCAGTATTCTTTTCTTTCCCCTCTTGCAGTGAGACATACCGTTACTTTGATCTTCCTTTCTGTCATCCAGGTTAGACATCATTCAGGATAAATGATGTACTCTTAAGTACATTTTATTGGTTTTAAATTAATTATTAATTAATGGATATATTTGGCAGATAATGTGAAGGTGAAAGATAAAAAGGAAGCCCTTGGGGAAATCTTAAATGGTGACCGTTTAGTCACTGCACCTTACAAGCTTGACTTTATGCATGACAAGGACTCAGAAACTGTATGCCGAAGGAGGCTGTCAAAAAAAGAAGTTGCACAGTTCCGTGAAGCTGTTGCCAAGGATTATTATTTCCAAATGTACTATGATGACCTTCCATTTTGGGGTTTCCTGGGGAAAGTTGATAAGGATGGAAAATCTGACCCTAGTGAATACAAATATTATCTATTCAAGCATCTTCATTTTGAGATCTTTTACAACAAGGATCGTGTGATTGAGATTAATGCACGGACTGATCCCAATGCCCTTGTTGACATCACTGAAGACAAAGAAGT